CTTACTGGCCTAGGAACTCTGGCTCCACGGGCCAGCAGGGCGCTGGGAGGAGGAGGGAGGAGTGTCCTCAGTGCAAGGCCTTTGGAGGTTGCTGGGAGTGTCCCTGGCAGAGGGCTCTGTTGGAGTCAGGGATGAGCACCACCCTCATGGACTCAAAGGAGAACGAAGGACACCCTGGAAGCTCGTTGATGAAGGATATCATCCCCCTGGGGCCTGAGGAATCTGCCATGGAGGTGGTCTTGAAGAAGATCCGGGAGCTCTCTGATTCGGTGAGGGGAGAGGAGGGAGTGGAGGGGAAGGTCATGGAGTGGGGAGTGGAGAGTGTGGGTCTCAGTCCCTACTTAGGTGGGGACAAAATAAGACTTTGTGTTTTATAAGTCAGTTTACTAGATCTTACTGAATAGCTGTGTTCCCTGGTGGCATGGGGTAGTTCTCCTGTCCCCTTCCAGTCCCCCACCAGCTCCTGGGATTTCACCTTGTGCCAAGCGATCCGGGTGAGGGTTGGAGAGTCCTGGCGCCCATTTGGTCTATAAAGCTTGTTGCCCTCTTGTCTTCCTGTTGTAAAAGTTAGAAGGTCAAGGCTCAAATCCTACCATTGCCATGTAGTTGCTATTGACCTTGAGAAAAAGATTCATATTGTAGTGCACCTGACACCTATATAATTTTTTAACCAGCGTCACCTGAATGTATTCAAGAAAAATAAAAAAATAAAAAGAGATGTTAGAGCCGCAGTTTCCTCTTTTTCTAACTGGGTAACAGCAGTACTTGCCGCATGGAGACCCTGTGAGGATTCACTGAAGTGACACAATGCCCAGCCTCTCTTGCCTCTCTCTCTGCCTTGGCAGGACCACCGAGACCCCTTCATGGTGGCCGACCTGGGTGTGTTGGCCAGCCGCCACCAGGCCTTCTGCCAGGCCCTGCCAAGGGTCTCGCCCTTCTATGCGGTGAAGTGTAATAGCAGCCCCTGGGTGCTGCGTGTCCTGGCCGCCCTGGGCACCGGCTTCGACTGTGCCAGCCAGGTGAGCTTGGGCCACAGCCAGTTTCCTCATTCATAGGCCTGACGGTTCCTGGA